ATGATCCTAACAAAATCAGAATAAAAATTCCAATTCATCCGATTTAGAGTTCAGAATTTGTTTATCATCTTCTCCAGTAAGTTTTCTTGCCTTCTTTCTTTTTTACATTTCTTGTGTATCATATGTTCTTTCTTTTCTATTTTTTTTTCAGAAACGAAAGTTTCGAAAATTTGAGTTCTAAATCGTTGCATGACCCTATAGTCCTGACAAATTCAAGTTCTAGCAAGAGATATTCTTCAAAGAATAGACATGCATCTACTTCGGAAGACCCAAAAATCTCAAAGAAAATGGATAGAAAGGCGGCACCTCCGATCATTCGGCCAACACTACCTACGGTATCAACATTTGTATCCCTATCGATCCTGATTTTTGTATCTTTTTCGTTAGTTGGATGATTGTTTTATTTTTAAAGTATCGTTTATTTCATTGCACTCATGGAACACAAAATATTTTTGATACTTTTATGTCTAACATATTCCTTATGTTTCATAGATAAAATTTTAAGTATCAGTTTACAATTTTTTGATACTTTATTTTTTTGGATATATATATAACGACAACTAAAATATTTAGGTATTTGTGTATCTATTTAGTTCAAAATTCGTTTATCATCTTCTCCAGTAAGTTTTCTTGCCCTTTTTTTTTACACTTGTGTATCTAATGTTCTTCCTTTTCTATTTTTTTTTTCAGAAGCGAAAGTTTCGAAGATTTGAGTTCTAAATCGTTGCATGACCCTATAGTCATGACAAATCCAAGTTCTAGCAAGAGATATTCTTCAAAGAATAGGCATGCATCAACTTCGAAAGACCCAAAAACCCCAAAGAAAAGGGGTAGAAAGACGACACCTCTGATCATTCAACCAACACTACCTACGGTATCAACATTTGTATCCCTATCCATCCTGATTTTTGTATCTTTTTCATTAGTTGGATAATTGCTTCTTTTTTTTAAAAAAAAAGTATCGTTTATTTCATTGCACTCATGGAACACAAAATATTGTTGATACTTCTACGTCTAACACATTCCTTAATGTTTCATAGATAAAATTTTAAGTATCAATTTATAATTTTTGATACCTTATTTTTTTTTGTATATTTATATAACGACAAATGAAATATTTAGGTATTTGTGTATCTACTATGTATTGGACAAGAACATTTACGTATCTAATCTGTTTTAGTTGGATGTATTGTTGAAATTTAGTATAAAAGTGCATGAAAATTGATGTATATAAGATTATTATTTAAATATCATATTGATATGTAGGGGTTATTTAGTATCAATTTTCATATTTATTGTATCTAAAGTAAACAGAAAACATATTAGTAATATAAATTTTTGTGATGTTTTTTTTAAGTGTAAGTTTGACTATTTAGTATAAAATTATATGAACATTAATGTATCAAAGTGCATGAACACATAAGATTATTATTTTTAGTATCATAATGGTATGTAAGTATTATTTAGTATCAATTTTCATATACTTCATTGTATCTAAAGTGAACAGAAATCACGCTAGAAATATTGACATAACATTCCCTTGATCCAGCAAGAGAGGACCAGAAAGTCTATTGTATCATGTACTATCACATCAATTATACAATACATTAATTGCACCCCTCTGTCTCCGATATCCATACAAGAACATCCGATAATTTAGTTATGAAATTCGTAAAATAATAATAGTTTAGATTTATTTCAACCAATTCGCTCATCATTTAATTGTGAGTATGTTTGTTGGTTATATGACATAGTCTGAATCTATAAAAATTTTGAAAAGACAATGAAAACTTTTAAAAATTTTAGTCTTAAATATATTATTATATTTGTATGACTATAATTTATTATCTAGATTATAGATGATAAATATTATTAAATTAGATATTTTAGTTAGAAGTTAATCTAAGGAAATGTAAAAGATGATAAATATTATTAATTAGATATTTTGATAAAAAGTGCAAAAGTAATTAATATTTTAATTAAATTGTATTATACAATTCAATATTATGATTAAAGAGTTAAGTGTTTTATAACATTTTAATTTAAAGTAATTATAACATCATAATTCAACTTTTTATTTTTTTTTATTTTCACTTTTAGTAATATATAATAAAATATATGATCAATTAATTTGAGGATTCCCACAAACTTTTATTGAATTACAAGTAAAAGAATTAATAAGAAAATGTGCTTCTCCATTGGACATAGAATGTTTGTATTTAAAAAGTTCATTGTTATATTTATAGCACCAAACAAACAAAATATCGAAAAGGATAGACTCTAATTTCCAAAAATGTGAAAACAGATTAGTATGGAGGAGGAAAATAAGTAGGAAAAAGATGTTTTTGCGCTATTGTTACTTACGACGTCTCTTCTTTTACGCAATTTCTGATTAGTTGTAGTTTTTTTAAGGACCAAATAAGAGATTTTAACTTTTCGGAATATTTAACATAACGAATAATTCTTTATTGAAAAAGTCTCAAAATTGCAAACAATTTTAATCGGTAATATGAAAACAATGTCATTTTTTCACAAAATAGAAAAAAGTTGGGTAACTTATAATAGAAAGAGAAGACAATATATAGTCTATGTAAACTCATAAGTGAATTAGAGTTATAAGCACCTCATTTTTCTATGCTCCACTATGATAATCCTTCTTCATAATACATAATTATGAAATCAAGAGTTTATCGCCACAAACGTTTTTAGAGATCAAAATTTTTTTTAAAATTATTTTTAATCTTGTCAAATACTTCCTAACTTATTTTAAGTCATTTTGACTTAATTTTGAGTTATTTTTGTTTTTGTTTAACATTTCTAGAGATCAAAAACTTACATAAATGAAGGTTGTTAGATGAAGGGGCAAGGGAGTAGAGAAAATTAAAGGAAGAACACGTTATCAAAATCAAAGATACCACTAATTAAATATGAGTTCGGAGTGTAAAGAGTAGAAAATGTTAACTAAAACTTCAAAACAATAAATGAATTTTTTTAAAATCAAAACGGCAAAATCACTCATGAAGTAGCGATTTTGACTGTCGGAAAAAACAAAATTGTTGCTGCGATATGTAAAATTTACTTTTTTTAACAAAAAATTTTCAACAAATCGCTGCCACGGCAGCAATTTTCAAAATCAATTTTTTTAATAAATCATTGCAAAGGAGAGATTTTACGTTAATTTTTTTTTCTTTTTCAAAAAAAAAATTTAAAATCAAATCGCTGCCAAGGCAGCGATTTTGAATCAATTTTTTTAAATTTTTTAAAATCAAATCGCTGCCAAGGCAATATTTTGAACCAATTCTTTTAAAAAATCAAATCGCTATCAAGGAAACGGTTTTGAATTAATTTTTAATAAATCTCTGCAAAGGCAACAATGTTAATTTTTTTTTATGATTTACTAATTTTTATTTTTTTAATTAGTTAATCGCTGCTGCTTATTTTTAATTTTTTTAGTCTACTTTATTTTTTTCATGGTAGTAAATCCTGCCTACTTTAATTTATTTTAATAGTAGTAAATAGCTGCATTTGCAGCGATTTTATTTAAATTATTATCATTTTTAAATATTAAATTACTATAGCAATTTTAGTTCTTTTTAAAAATATTTTTAAATTTCGCTTTTCACGTAGTGATTTCATAAACAACAATGTACTTATATATTCATACATATACTCACAATTATTACTTCCAATTGAAGTGTGTCATTGTGGGAGAGTCTAGCCAAAATTTCAAACATTTGAATTTTTTTTCATGAGATTCAACTGATAGGTAAATAAAGTAATGTTTTCTTACTTCTTTATATTATTTTTCTTATATGTAATATATTTATATTATTATTTTTATAGGTATGATCAAATTCAAAATGCAGTGAATTATCGTACACAAATTGTAAATAATAATGTTATGGGTGATGAACGAGTTGGTGAGTTGCACAATGATGAACCTTTCGAGCATGAATTGACAGTCATTGATGATATGTATGACGATGATGATGATGATGTGGATAATGCACCTAATGCATCCATTGAAGATCAAAGTATTAATTATCATTGAAGAAAATGCAGAAGATTTTATCTATACGAGAGATGATGGTTCCATTCGAACGACACTTTGAAATTCAAACAAACCTAAACATATCCAGTCAGGTTCGATTGTTGAAACTAAATATTTTGTAGTTGTTTATTTGTTTATTTACTTATTTATTTATTTTATGTTGATTAATTTAATTTGTATATGCAACTAGGTATATTATTTATGAATAAGATGCAAATGAAATCTGCAGTAAGAGCATAAAGTCTTGCTATTAAAAAAGAATTTCTTTGTGATAAATCCAAGAGTAAAAGTTGGGAAAGTTATTTGCAAGCGTCATAAGTTAGGGTGTGATTAGATGATTGGTTTAGAGAGATTTCAAGCGGTATGTGGAAGACAGGAAAAATGGTTAAATCGCATAATTGTCTTACAAATAATTATAAGGAGGATCATTTCAATTTGAATGATAACATGGTTGCCACTTCATTAATATCATATGCTATGCAAAATTCAGACATAAATATTAAGATGATCCGTGAAATTATCAAAGGAAAGCATCACTATACTCCTAGTTATATAAAAGCACAAAAAGTCGAAGAAAAGCATTTCGAATGGTTTATGTTAATTTTGAAAGTTCATTTAAGGCATTACCTCGGTAGATGACTGCACTACAATTATTCAATCCAGGCACTATTATTGGAGTCCGGAGCTTAAAGGGTGAAAAATGTTAACAAAAATTCCAAAACGATATATGAACTTTTTTAAACCAAAATAACAAAATTGCTACTTCGTCCATAAAATCGCTACTTCGTAAGCGATTTTGTCCGTAAAATCACTGTTATATAGCAGCGATTTGCAAAATTTGCTTTTTTTAAAAAAAATAAAAAAATCCAACAAATCGCTGCCAAGACAGCGATTTTCAAATTAATTTTTTTTAATAAATCACTGCAAAGGTAGCGATTTTAAGTTAATTTTTTGCTTTTTTTAAAAATCAAATATCTGCCTTGAATCAATTATTTTAAAAAAAATCAAAATCGCATATGAATCAATTTTTTTTTAATAAATTGCTGCCTTAACAGCGATTTTACACTTTTTTTTAATTTTTATGTAAATCACAGCCAGTGCAGCAATATACTAAATTTTGTTATTATTTTTTAAATTTTTTTAAGTAAATCGCTGCCAGTGTAGCGATTTATGAATTTCGATGCCAGTGCAGTGGCTGTGATTTATGGGAGTTTTTTATTTTTTACTTTTTAATTACTTTTAAATAGTGTAGCGATTTACGAAATTTTTGTTTTTTTTAAAAATCTCTTAAAAATAAATCCTGCCTATTTTCTAATTGTGTAGTGAAATTTCTGCAATTTTTTTTTCCGATTTACTCCAAATTTTTTTTTTTAACTTTTAAAGTTAATCACATGTGAACTTTACAAAAAATATTCACATGACAAATTTTTACAAAAAAAATTCACATGTCAAACTTTTACTAAAAAATTCACATGCATTTATATGAAATAGTGTCAAAGTCACATGATACATTATTATTTTCTTATAAATTGATTGAGTTGTTCATTCAAATTGTATTGTAGTTTTTCAAATTTTTTAAAATTTTTAAAAGCGTTTTCTAGTTTTTCAATTTTCCAAAGTTTTTAAAAGCCTTTCTCTATAAGGGAAGTTTGAATTTATTTTAATTTTAATTTGTTTAATTAATTTTATACTTTTATATGATATTGTGGATATATTCATCTTTTGATACTTATATTAATGTTAATATTTAGTTTTACTTTTTGTGTATGGATATGCATCCGTCAAATGTGTACTTACATCCTGGTCCAGTAGAGCATGATGTATTAAAAATTCAAGTTCATCATCGTTCCGAAGGAATCTGGAATGGTAGCTTAAAAGAAGAGAAGTCTTGCTTATATACGCGTCGTGGTGATATTGAATTTTGGCAATATGTAAAATATCATCCATTACATTTTCGCATTCATCAGTATTTTGAAAATTGTAGATTTAAAAGAATTCTTGATGTAGGATGTGTGTCGTATGACTCCGGATTAATTTCTTCTTTAATTGAAAGGTGGCGTCCAGAAACACATACTTTTCACATGCAAACTGATGAGGATACCATAACATTACAAGATGTTGAAATTTTATTCGGAATGGTAATAGATGGTAGTCCTATAATTTTAAATGGAGCTTATGCTTTAGGAATTATAGGTAGACAAGAAATGATGTTTGAATTAACATGGTCGTTACCTGATAATAGTTGTTTTTCTGGTGTTAGTAGATTATTAACATATAAATTGATTAAGTATATTGAAGGTTTGAATGGTATTACTGATCACTCAAATGAGCATGAAGTGCAACAAAGATTTAGATTATATTTATTATGGTTATGTGGTGGATTAATATTTTTAGATAAATCTAATAATAAGATTAATTTGGATATTTTGATTGACATGAGAAATTTAAATGTAATGTCAACACAAGCATGGGGAGCAGACGCATTACATATTTGTATAATTGCTTATGTCGTGCATCAATGAAAAATCAAATGAAGTTTGTGGATTTCTCTCTTTAGTGCAAGTATACATATTTTTTAATTAAATATTTTTTATATACTAGTAATATGCACTTTTAAATTTAAGTGTATTCTATGTAATGGTGAATTTTGTTTATGTAGATTTGGGCATGGGAACGAATTATTCCCCTGCAACCATTGACAAAGCCTCTAAGGACCAATCAACTTGAAACTTCAACTGCGCTTGCACGTAAATGGACGCGACGTAGAAATCATCACAATGAGGCACGAACTGTAATCGGTGTGACTATATATGTACTAGATAATCTAACTGATGAATAGGTATTTATTATTATTAGTATTTTAAACTATTCATATTTTTATTCCATGTTAAATAAAAATATGTTTGGTAGGTCTTTATATGAGACACTTATGTTTTACTACCCAAGAAATTATATGAATAAAATGACATATACATAGATTCTTGATAGGTCCTTAAAAGTAAGATATTACATGACATAATGGTACCAAAAAATTATTTTGTAAGATTGTTCATTTTCACGTTACACCTTTTTTTTATTTTTCTACTAATTTTGTTTTTATAATTATCTTACTTAATTATTTTTTTTATAATTTATTTGGCAACCTTATTCGGAAGATTTTATTAATGGATTGCCTGAGTGGTGTCGGTTAGGACAACGTGTCTGGATGACACATGTGCCACTTATTTATGGAATTTATCGAGAGTGGCACATGGTTGATCGTGTTGTGAGACAGTTTGGTTATTTACAACATATTCCTAGATCGTGTACCTAATTTTTCGAATATCATTTTAAGCGTGATAAACGATCCAAAATAAAACAAGAAGATATAGATGCATTTAACTACACACAATATTTATGGGAACAATGTAAAAATCATATATTTCGACCTCCATTTGTAAGTGATCAAACAGATTACTTTCGTTGGTACATGAGGCATACTCGCATGTTTATAGGAAATCCACAACATGTTTTACAAAAAGGGTATCAATACATGGCAGGAAGGCATGAGGCATTAGTATTTAAAATTTACACAATATACATACTAATGCCTCATGTCTTCCTGCCATGTATTGATACCATTTTTGTACAACATGTTGTGGATTTTCAATTAACATGCGGGTATGCCTCATGTACCAGCAAAAGTAATCTGTTTGATCACTTACAAATGGAGGTCGAAATATATGATTTTGACGTTGTTCCTATAAATATTGTGTATAGTTAAATGCATCTATATCTTCTTGTTTTATTTTGGCTCGTTTATCACGTTTAAAATGATATTCGAAAAATTGGGTACACGATCTAAGAATATGTTGTAAATAACCAAACTGTCTCACAACATGATTAACCATGTGCCACTCACGATAAATTTCATAAATAAGTGGCACCTGTGTCATCCAGACATGTTGTCCTAACCGACACCACTCAGACAATCCAATAATAACATCTTCCGAATAAGGTTGCCAAATAAACTATAAAAAATAATTAAGTAAGATAATTATAAAAATAACATTGGCAGAAAAATAAAAAAAAATATGTAATGTGACAATGAACAATCTTACAAAATATTTTTTTTGTACCATTATGTCATATAATATCTTATTTTTAAGGACCTACCAAGAATCTATGATATGTCATTTTATTCATATAATTTTCTTGGGTAGTGAAACATAAGTGCCTCATTTAAAGACCTACCAAACATATTTTTATTTAAAATGGAATTAAAATATGAATAGTTTAAAATACTAATAATATTAAATACCTGTTCATCAGTTAGATTATCTAGTACATATATAGTCACACCGATTACAGTTCGTGCCTCATTTTTGATGATTTCTACGTCGCGTCCATTTACGGGCAAGCGCAGTTGAAGTCTCAAGTGGATTGGTCCTTAGAGGCTTTGGCAATGATTTCAGGGGAATAATTCGTTCCCATGCCAAAATCTACAATAAATAAAATTCATCATTATGTAGAATACACTTAAATTTAAAAGTGCATATTACTAGTATATAAAAAATATTTAATTAAAAAATATGTATACTGCACTAAAGAGAGAAATCCACAAACTTTATTTGATTTTTTCATTGATGCACGACATAAGCAATTATACAAATATGATAATGCGGTTGCTCTCCATGCTTATGTTGACTTTACATCTAAATTTCTCATGTCTATCAAAATGTCCAAATTAACATTATTATTAAATTTATCCGGAAATATTGATCCACCACATAACCTAATAAATATAATCTAAATCTTTGTTGCACTTCATGCTCATTTGAGTGATCATTAATACCATCCAAACCTTCAATATACTCAATTAACTTATATGTTAACAATCTACTAAACCAGAAAAAACAACTATTATCGGGTAACCATCCTGTTAATTTAAACATCATTTCTTGTCTACCTATAATCCTTAAAGCATAAGCTCCATTTAAAATTATAGGATTGCCATCTATTACCATTTCGAATAAAATTTCAACATCTTGTAAAGTTATGGTAGCCTCGCCAGTTCGCATGTGAAAACAATATGTTTCTGGACGCCACCTTTCAATTAAAGAAGAAATTAATTCGGAGTCATACGGCACACATCCTACATCAAAAATTCCTTTAAATCTACAATTTTCAAAATACTGACGAATGCGAGAATGTAATGGATGATATTTATATGTTGTCAAAATTCAATATCACCACCACACGTATATAAGCAAGACTTCTCTTTTTTTAAGCTATCATTCCAAATTCCTTCGGAAGGATGATAAACTTGGATTTTTAATACATCATGCTCTACTGGACCCATATGTACGTTCACATTTAACGGATGCATATCTATACAAAAAAAATAAAAATAAATATTAACATTAATATAAATATCAAAAGATGAATATATCTACGATATTATACAAAAGTATAAAATTAATTAAAATAATGAAAAATAAAATAAATTTAAACTCACCTTATAGAGAAAAGGCTTTAAAAATTTTGAAAAATTGGAAAACTAAAAAAGGCTTTTAAAAACTTTGAAAAATTGAAAAAAATACAATACAATTTGAATGATTAGTTCAACCAATTTATAAGAAAATAATGTAACATGTGACTTTGACACTATTTCTTATAAATTCCCGTGATTTTTTTTTGTAAAAGTTTGACATGTGAATTTTTTTTGTAAGAATATGACATGTGAATATTTTTTGTAAAGTTGACATGTGATAAACTTTAAAATTAAAAAAAATTAGAGTAAATTGATTTTTTTTCCAGAAATTTTGCTACACAATTAGAAAATAGGTAGGATTTATTTTTTGGAGCTGTTTTTTTTTTTAAAAAAAAATTCGTAAATCATTGCTAGTGCAGTAATTTATTTAATAAAAATTTATAAAAAAAAACTCCTATAATCGCAGCTCTCGCAGCAATTTACTTAATATTAAAAAAAAATAATCATAAATTGCTTCACTGACAGCAATTTACTTTAAGAAATTATTATAAAAATAATAAAATTCAGTAAATGGATGCCTTCATAGCGATTTGATTTTTTTTAAAAAAATAAAAAGTTGATTCAAATGCAGCGATTTTGTTTTAATTTTTTTTTAAAAAAGCAAAAAAATAATTTAAAAAATTAACGTAAAATCGCTGCCTTTGCAGCGATTTATTAAAAAATAATTTTGAAATTTTGATTTTGAAAATTGCTGTCTTGGCAACGATTTTGTTGGATTTTTTTTTAAAAAAAGCAAATTTTAAACATTTTTTTCGGCGGTCAAAATTGTTACTTTGTAAGCGATTTTGCCATTTTGGTTAAAAAAAATTCATACACCGTTTTAAAATTTTTATTAACATTTTTCACCCTTTCGGCTCTGAACTTAATTAAATTTCACTATTGAAATGGAGGAAAAACTAATTCATCAACTATCTTCTCAACCAATTCAAGATTTCTCGTACTTGAGAGTTAATATCTGAGATAGTTACTCAACTTTAAATTGTTTACTTAAAAAGAGACTCAATTTTATTTTATAACTCAAAGTTATTCAATTATTAATATTTCACTTAGAAAGTCACCTAACAATTTATATGTTAGAAAGTAATCGATCAATTTAAGTAATTTTTTCATTATATTTTATCTTAAACTATTTTTAAGAAAATAATATGATATCTATTTTAAAAACGTAGAGTAACAATTGATTTACCAAAAAGAAAATTTTGAAATGATAAGAAGTGACTAAAAAAAAGGGCAGTAACGATCTTCTGGTATTTTCTTTAAATGAAAAGCTAGTAAAAGAAACATTAACTAAAATAATCATCCTTTTCTTTAAAAAAAAATAATTTAATTATTTTTTTGTATTTTTACAAAATTTAATGAAAATGTTATTTAAATTGATTTAGTAACTTTGTAAGTGAAATATAAATAGTTGAGTGACTTTTAAAGTGAAACATCAATATTTGACTGACTGTTAAGTTAAAAAACAAAATTAAGTAACTTTCTAAATAATTAACAAAAAATGAATGACTTTTTAAGTAAAATATTTAAAATTGAGTAACCATTTGTGATATTATCTCTCTAGTTGATCGAAAAAGACTTCACCATAACAATTACAGTCTCTGCAAATATTTTCAAATTGCGAAGATATATGTACTCTCACAAAACAAAATGATTTATATATTATTATACGCCAAAAAGCAACATCTAAAAATCATTCACCGAAACAATATTAACTGCACACTTACTAACTCAAATAAATTAGTCTTCTCTATCATGTTTATATCGCATAATTAAATTATTTATTGTTCATTTATATTTTTGTGATTACATAATATATATTTAAATTAGGGTGTATAAAATTAAATCGAAAATCGAATCAAACAGTAAGTCGAGTTAAATCGAAAAAAATTTGACTAGTGGTTTAGTTTGACTTGATTTGGTGTTGGAAAAAAAAACTTAATTATCTTTGGGTTGGTTTGGTTTAAATTAAAAAGACCAACCCGACATTATATATATAATTTTAAAATTTTATTTATACGTAAAGATATTTACTTCGATATAATTTTTAAATATCTCTTATACTTTTTCATATTTTTATCTTTAAATATATTTATTTCATGTTTGGAAGTTAGAATTCTTAATGATCTAATAAAGATAGTACGTACATGTTGATAATTATAATAAAGTTTAAATAAAAAATCAAATTAATACTAATGCAAAAAGAAATCAATTCAACACTAAGAATGATAATATTATTGAATATTTACTTTATAATTTTATACAGATTTAGACAATTAAAATACATGATCTAATTTTAGTTTCTTTTAGTATTTAGTCATGTAACTAATACTTAGTAAACTTATTTCATTATGACTTATTAATTTGCAATACTTGTTTTACGCGATTTTATTATTATTATTATTTATTTTGGATATTTTAGTGTCATTAACCATATCATATTTTTTGTTATTTCTTGAGAAATAACTTAGATAGTTGCATTTTGGAAGGACAAAAGAAATATTTGAAGTATAAGTAAGTCATATATTTGTATGAATACTTTATCGAAAAAATCCAAAACCCCCGAAAAAACCCAAAGTTGAAAAACCTAGATTCTATTGGTTTGGTTTGGTTTATAAATTCAAAAATCCGACACAAATAGTTTGATTTGATATCTGAAAAACCTGAATCAACCCGATAATGTACACCCCTAATTTGGAAACTTTCACATATAATCACTTAAAAATAATTAATTACTTTACATAGTTATAGTTTGATAACTACAATTGGTAGCTACATGTTATATAAAGGAGAGAGGCAAGCGAGACTGGGAGAGAGAGGAGAGAGGTGAGAGAGGGGAAAAAGAGTGGGAGGGAGGTGAGTTGTATATGTATATTGGTTATATAATTGTATATTATACATATGTAATTGTATATATGACAAGAGATATTGGGAGAGGGAAGAGAGACGAGCGAGACTAGGAGAGCGAGGAGAGAGACGAGCAAGATCGAGAGAGGCAAAGGAGAGAGGGAAGAGAGGTGAATTGTATATGTATATCATTGTATATAATACATATGCATTTGTATATATGGCAAGCGAGATTGGGAGAGGAAGGCGAGAGAGAGAGGGCAGAGAGTGGGAGAGAGGTGAATTGTATATGTATATAAGTTAAGTAATTGTATATTATACATATGTATTTGTATATGCTGACGAATTATACATACACAAATGTGACTAATTATACAAATTCGAAGTCAGCGTACATAATTAATGTATAATGTTAGTAGCGAGTAATAATTATAGCAAATTATAGCTATAATGAGTAATTAAATAGTATAAATTTGCTTAATCGCGTAAATTTTTCTAATTTAAATGATAAAATAATGATAGATAATGAAAAATTCTTAAAGGCATTACAAAATTCTTCATTACTCACCTATCCAACAACCCTTAACTTATGTCCCTTCTAAAAATAATTTGCTGAAATTAATGAGTGGTTAAAACATGTATGTTTCAAGAAAATACAAGATTATCGTTATTTATTAGAAATAAATTATGATGCTAAATGACCACAAAATTTGGTCAGAAATTTTAAAAAATTATAATTCTTTTTAACATTAACTGATCTATTTTTCATTTTTTAGTTAAAAAATATTAAAGGTAAATGAATAAAATATTTCTTAAAAGATAAAATAATATAGATAAACTAAAATTCTGGCCATATTTTCTGATCAATTTTTTTTCCAATTATTTAAATGTCATTGGTTGTTAAACATTTTAAAATTTGAACGGACTAATAAAGGTGAATGGTTGTGATTTCCATAACCTTTTGTCATCAAATTGAAGAAAACATTGGCCATATAACCTTTTGAACGGACTAATAAAGGTGAATTGATTGACGAAGAAAGAAAGATTATAAATTATTTATATTAAGGGATAGGGTCAAAAATATTCTTTAATTTTGTTTTATTGGTTGATTATACTTTTGCCGCTAAAATAAATAATCTATTTCTTTTTTTGATACCATATTAATTTTAGTTTTTCACATGACATGATTAAGATCATAAGATTAAAAGACAATTTTATACATTTGACATAACTTTAATTAGGATCACAAGATTCAAAAATCTTTTTTATTTTTCTTAAACTTCGTGTTAAGCCAAATTAAGTTACTCTTTTTTAAACGAAGGGAGTATTAAAGTTAAAATGTTAAAAATGTTTTAAAAAGTAAAGTAACATAGGTAAAATAAAATTTTGGCCAACTTCTAACTAAATTTTTTGTCCAATAAGAATTTTTTCAATTAATTAAATATAATTATACTTTTCTATAAAAGTAAATTGGTTGTTAAACATTTTTAAATTTGAATGGACTAATAAAGGTGAATGGTTATGTGTCACGACCCAAATCGGGCCGCGACTGGCACCCACACTTACCCTCCTATGTGAGCGAACCAACCAATCTAAACCTTAACATTTCAATATAATATCAACAGAAAGTAATGCGGAAGACTTAAACTCATTAATAAAAACCAATTCAATAACTTCTAAAAACTCAACACTATTATTATCCCCAAAATCTGGAAGTCATCATCACAAGAACATCTATCCTCAAATTACTAATCTAAGAGTATCTAAGAAGCTAAAATATGTAAAAAGCTAGTCCATGCCGGAACTTCAAGGCATCAAGACATGAAGAGGAAGATCCAGTCCAAGCTAGAAGCATTAGCTCACCCTGAAATCCAGTGTAATGAAGACTGGCTAGAGTTGCGGTTGAGTTGAAGACGACGGCACATTTGTTGCACTCCACAATTTAACAAAAAGAAACATACAAGTAGGGGTCAGTACAAAACACGGGTACTGAGTAGATATCATCGGCCAACTCAAAATAGAAAACAGTATATATCAGATAATATCATAAATCAACTACAATACTCAATTTGTAGCAACACCATGTACAAGAATCTTTGATAAATGACGTCAAGTACACTCATGAGGACTCAAGCCTCCATATCATACTCATTTGGGAATT